GTAGTCTAGACCGCCAAGCCTTCGCTTCGACGTTGGAGTTAAGACGGCTAGTCCAACTAGAAGATCGGGAATCGTCATTATAACCCACTATGCAGCGTGCCATCTCTGATAAGGCAGTGTATCTCAGTACATTGTGGGGAGAATCAAACGTCAAGTTTCGAAAACAGTTATTTATTTCCAAAGACCAGACGAAGGCAAGCGATCCGTGGGGGATTATGTCGTACAATGTTCGGCCCTCTTAATCCCGGTCCTAGCCTTCAGCCCTGAGCCTTGGCAAAACGCCCAGCCCCCTGTGATCAGCCTAGGGGTCTTGGTAGGGCGATATAGACTTGGCTCATCTAAAAGCGATGAAAAGGGCTTCAAATTTCGAGATAACATGATCTCCTCGAAAAAGGCTATAGAGTAGGAAGAACGCCACAAACGAATTTGATGTATGTAAACCTGAAGAGAAACGCGTTCAGAAACAAATTCCTCCCATCTCCTACATTTCCTAGGGGGCACCTAAGTTCCAGCCCAAGTTCAATAGATCAAAGACATACAGATGTCAAAAATATCACGGTGATCTCTTCTCCATATAAAACGCTGGATGAAATCATGGTCGTACTTTCAGGAACAAGACGAAGAAGATTAAACCCACCGTGGATCTCCCAAGTTCCAATCACCACGCGGAAGACGTGTCTGCCTTAAAGCGCGCCGGCCCTCTTGGCATTTGCACAGCCAACGCTTCCAAGAACCAACAGCTAATATCCTATTACATGGAGTAAACTGCGATCACAAGCCACCAAGCCACCTGGTAATTACCGTCCTGCAGAGGTTTGCCTTATACGAAATTTTAATTCAGGCTTTTCCCATACTTGCCTTTTTGACATTCTTCATCCTCTTTCGTCCGCTCTTTTATTTCGCTAGCATTTGCTTTTAAATATACCTCCCCATCTGCGACAGTACTGGACCGTAGAACGACCAATCTCAACCCGACGTCATGGCCACACACGACTACCCGTACAAGAAGGGCGTAAACATCACCGCCTGGGTTCTACAGTTCCTCGTCTGCATCATCCTTCTCGCGGCGTCGGCATGGCTATTATGGCTGGTGAACTCGGAGGATGTTTTGGAAAGCTATAGCGGGCTGTTCACGTATGCGCTCCATGATCTCAATTGGGAAATATGTATAGCTGGGTTGGGTTGAGACAAGACGAGCTAACATCGGACTGAAACTTCAGCGTGGCTGCCGGCCTCCAGATCGCCATTGTCCTCGTGAATATTATCATGAATATTCTCGAGATCATCCTGATCGCGAAGAAGCGCATGCCAGTGGAGCTGTTCCTGTCGAGCGCGTGCATCAAGACCGCCGTTTGGGGTATCATCTTCATCCTCGATGTTGTCACTCTATCGGTCATCTCCATCATCTTGACATTGGTCCTGACGTATGTCCTACCACCTACCTCGACTCACTTACCTGCCTCATATAATCAGTATTATCCGAGCGAAGTGGCAGGCAGCTAATATCCAAATAGTGCGACATCCTTGCTGCAGCTCATCCACGGAGCAATCCTCGTCCACCGCAAGCGACGTGGAACTCTGCGGGGCGGTAAATACGCACCGACCGAAAACCCGTCGGCTGGCTTGATGGAGGCCCAATACGGCGCGCCGCAGGCCGGATATTATAACCCTGGCGTCAGCACCGAGTACAAGTCGCCCTCGCCCGTCGCGTCGCCGGCACCGCCTCAGTACGGGTACGCCGCCCCCGCCTATGCGCCGCAAGCTACTGGGGGTTCGTACGAGCTCGACAGCCGGCCCCAGCACGCTTAGGAGAAGTCCTGCGGCATTATGGACTGCGTCGTCTGATTGATTGATGGGCTGCATTGCATTACATTGAGGATGCGTTCTTTTTGTTTCCAACTTCGCGCGCTTGTCGGCTCGACTGGGATTGGGTACGATCGGGTTTGGTCGCCATGGGACTGTACAGTAGCGGTCGTGGATGGATACCTGCATATACGATTTCTTGCATGGACACACATAATAGCGGTTATGAGGATCATCGATAGAGCATAAATACATCATTGGGATAGGCGCTCACCTAATCCATTTCCATTGCGGCTTCGTATGTCATCGGCTTGTGCTATCCTCCAGCTGCGTTGGTAGGATTATTATGATGGGTTTCACGATTACTGCTTTTGGGGGCTGCTTGGATTTTATACAGGTTGGTGGTACTTCAATTAACGCGCAAAGTCGTACCACAGGCTTGTACACCGAGCTTAACCGACTTCGGAATTCGGCAAGCCGGCAGAGCTCCATTTGCTCCAAGTGGTACAAAATGCAGGAGACCTAATCACACGTTTCTACTAGCAGCTAAAACACCCTAGCCAAACTTACCTACGTCACCCTCGTACAGGCCTACCGAAGATCCTGAGATCAACAAACAAGCACAGATCATGAGCACAGATCATATCCATTCCCCCCTCAATTCGACAGAGGCCTTCGTGACTTGTACTGTTCTGTTGGTAGGACTGGTATCATAAACGAGTGGAAATGACGGGGAATAACTCTGCATGTCTTATCCGTATCTACGAGAAGCAAGACATCCGTGTAAGGAGGGCATAGCCACAATGCTATCTTCCAATTGAACTGTCAACAGTGCCAGTTGCATGCTGTCGTCGTATCTTTGGTAAGCGTTCTAGATTTGTCCTGTGATAATTGACGCGCTTAGAGCTCTCCTATCGGCCATTCGTGTACGAGAGTACAGATGCTATATATAAACGGACAACCCGGACTGACAAGTCATTAACTTTCAGCTCAATTGAAATCTGGGGACGACGACTTGTACATAGACCCGGCAGATATTAGTACGCCGTATCACGCGTATTAGAGCATCGTGGAGAAATGATTGGCTATGTACGAGCTGCAACCCCCCATCCCAGTTAGAGCATCATGCAGTTGAACGGATGAGTACCTACCTCTCATTAGAGCATCCACCCACATCCAATGGATCAAGCAACGCAAGTGCTGACGAAAAGACTGGATGACCACCGCGGACTTGTTTGGTCTAAGGTAAGTACCTACATACAGTCGTATTGTGACCACGGGGGGATCTTCATTCATGAAGGTCCGACCAACGTCTTTGAAGGTTTGTGGCTTGCAGATTGGTCTGGCGCCGCGCTGTTTCCAATCAAGGGAAGGGTCCCATACAAGTCCCCTAACCTAGAAACCTGTTAATGCCCTGGGGGCCTAGCCCCTGTTTATCATACGTGACTGTACACCCAGCAAAGCCTATAGCAACAAAGGACGCAGGATCATTTGGGCTACCCTCCATTGCCGTTATATCCGCCAAACTGATAAAGGGCGGCCTCCCACCTCTCCGACATACAAAAGAGGCCCTCACCGCTCTTGTCCGCACTTCTGTTTCCTCTTATCATCGTCGCCCATTTCACTCTGTGTCTGTCATTCCCTACTGCTTCGTACGCTCTCGAACCTACCCTTTTAAACGACTACCATCAAGATGCCTTCCGCCGACGCTCCCCAACAGCAAGCTCCCATGGAGATGACCTCCACTGATGGCGTTGTTACGCAACAGCCCGTAAGTCATTCGTCCACGCACCTCCCCTCCCCTCCGTAGGTGCTACACCAGACCGTAACAGCCCAATTGACAATTATCTCTTCGCGAATAGACCACCGAGCCCCAGCCCCAATTCGGCAACCTGCGTGGTGGTGAAGAGGCCGGCTGCGAGATCTGCTGCGGTCTCTGCGCTTGCGACGAGGGCTGCTGCTAAATGCTCAGCCATTGACCTCCCTGCCGCACGGGAAATTCCCGCAGTGCTGTGAAACGGCTACCACATCGCACTAGCACATCCATCGAACGATTAGCACCCCGCTTTATCATCATCATCAGCATCAGCACCAGCATGGCGGCGTGATCATGCACGTATGTGTCAGCAAGGGAACATTAGCGATATTGCGGTTTTCGGGATCAAATGAAATAAATACTGCTATCAGTGAGCGGAGCGAGCAAGCAAGTCTGTCTTGTCTTTTTGGTAGCGAGGATTACTCTTGTCAATAGAAGTCTTTCCAACGAATTTTCATGACTGTTATCAACCAATCCTGGGCTGAAGTGAGATATGAATTCCTGCTTTCTTATACATCATGATTCTTGGCATTGCGAGCCTGAAGGTGGTGCTGAGTGATCGAATCTTGGCCGATTTACCGTGTTCCCGCGGCGTCAGTCGGCAGAACAGGTCACGGGACCTCTCTCCGGGCCAGAAAAGAAGCTATTGACTACAACCACAACAACGAAAGTAAGATGAAGTCCACGATCTGTTCTATTTCGGGTCCAACTTGTTGAAATAAGCATTTGCCTCATGTCTTGGCGATCTCTTGGCTACGCTGATCCTCTTGGAGTATGGGTATGGATTCGATTTGGCACCTAATTGACACGCGCATTCATTCGTCAAATGTTGCACCATTTCTCCTTCCAACTGTATCATCTAAGACATACTTCATGGGGATACTACATTCCTAATCCTATCTTGCCTCGTCTCTGGCCCAACTGGCAGGATCTATCTAGGTAGAGCACTAGACTTTGCCTGGTCCAATGCATTGTGGGTGCAATTACTTGGCTGAACCTTGGCGTGGATGACGAGAGAAGAAAAATCGACCAGGCAACCGGGCAGACAGAATAGCGTTAGGCTAGACGTGCCATGTACGAATAATACTGTAACATACAGTACGTGATATGACATCGTATTACTCGCACACAGGCCATTTAGCCCCCTGACATCCTTCTAGGAGAATGATGCCAGAACTAAGTGTCCCTTGAGTGATTAACATTGTAGTGCCACTCTTAAGCTAGCCCTGGAGGTGTACTGTGCGTTACAGTACTATCCGCACATGGGTTACTTGGTCCGAGGCCAGGCCAAGACCTACACTGCGGGATTTACTTCTTATACTCTATTTCACCCCCTGATCACCGCCAATCACACAGACAAGCTTCAGCTTTGTTTCCTCTGGGCCTTTTAGTGTAATTGGTCATCACAGCGGATTCTGATTAAAGGATCTGTGAGATTCCTGATTCCAGCATTCCGCTAATCTGGGTTCGATTCCCAGGGAGGCCTGTACAAATTTTTGGTGTTTTCACACCTACAACACGATTTTTTTTTGGTTTTAGCCCGTATTTCTCCACTTTTAAAGCTAGTAACTAAATGGCATTTACCTACTTTAAATAAAAATAAAAAGAAATTTGAAATAAACTTGAAAATTGAGTGTTGGGGGTCAAATTGCATAGGGGGCGTGTCTTTCGTTGAGGTGGTTATCCGGAGTCGCACTATCTCAGATCACTGCGATATACATACACATACAGACGCCCAGTACAGATATAATACAATTCATTCAATACTTCTACAGATCAGAGCTACGTATAGTCATTCCTTGGAATCATCATCCTCCTGAATTTCGCATCTAGAGGTTATGTGTAGTATAGGTACTATGTATCTCGGCCGGTAAAAGTGGGCCGGTCCGGTGGATGTCACCGCTTCCCGTCACTGCTGCGGAAGGTCCCACTGAGTCTATCCCATAATGTCTCCTCGCCTCTTTCCTTCCGCTTCTGTCTATCCCGTTCCTGCTTGTTCCACAAGTCCTGCACCCGCGATGCGACTTCCGCCTTTGCGCGGAGCTCCGCCCGGTAGGCTTCTTCTTCCGCGGCCTGGTCTTCCTCGGCGACCTTTTTTAACCGCTCCTTCAGCGTTGACCGTTGTTCCTGCGTCAATTCTTCCTCTTGTTGCGGCTGTTGCTTCTGCGGCTCCGCCGCTACGGACACCCTTGGTATTAATGGTGGGAACTTCGGTATCGGGCGCCCTTCCTTCCTCGCGGCGGCGATCTCGGCTTCTTGCGATAGCATGCGGTGGTACAGTGTGTCGGCGTGGAGTTGGATGTCTTCCTCGACTTCGGGGGAGCGGTCGTAGGTCGATAGGTAGCCTAGGGCTTTTAATAATCTCTAGAACATGGCAAATCAATACTCAGTTAGCAAATCGCATCCGAAAATCCATAGAAGAGAGTAAAATTCGTGCACCCACAGTCTGCGTCATATAGCACCTCTCAAACTTCTTGATCTGGTCGCGACACATAGTCATGCGCTCCGAAAGCGACGGGTTCGTCATGCATTGTCGCCAATCGAGCTGCTCGAGGGCGCAGTTCTCCAGCGCCGCCTTGCCGATCTGGTTCTTGCGCTCCTTGTAGGCCTCCAGCACGTCCATTAGCTTCTCGTGGTCGCTTTTGGTCTCGGCCTCGATCTCCGCCAGCGGCTTGTATGTCTTCCATAGGTGCGCATACCGCCCATCTTGGAATTGGCTCTCGCGGGGCACGACCGGTTTATTCGTTTCGCCCTCCGCGGCTCCAATTGTTGCTGCGGTCGCTTGTTGTTCTTTGGCGGGGGATTGTTGCTGCTGCGCGGCGCTGTACTTCACGGGCGACTCCCGCTCGAGAAATTCGCGGAGCTTGGGGTCGAGCTTGCGCAGCGGATCGTCACTGCTTGAGCTCGACGCCCAAAGACTATCCCACCAACCCATGACGAATTGCAAGTTCTGAGAGAAGATACTTGTTGGCTTCGTAGAGCTCTCTCCGGTGGCATTGAGGGAACAAGCTGGTGCGTAATGCCAAAAAGTTCGTTATCGTTATCGGAAATCGATATGCAAGTAGACATAATAAATCGATTATTGAGACATCAGTACTAGCATTATCACGATGACCACCCACTATAGATGTGTACAACGCAGACATCAGGAAGCTTATAATCATTGATAAACTACTTATGTAACCTTGGAATTAGTCGATCATCCCTAGCGATGAGATATAATACTTTGGAGAACCTCCTTGGGAATTTTCGAAGTAAAAACCCGGCCCGAAAGTGGCTCAACAAGGCAACAAGACAAGTCAGAGGAAAGTATACGACTTCGCCATAATCAAAAATGTCAGTGTGTTTTAATGGATATAATTTTAGATACATTACATCCTGTCTATTCACCTTTAGACATAGGAAAAAACACCCGCCAGGGAACATACACTGCTAAAGAGATCTAGGTTACCAGTTTCCTAGGCTCGTGCTTCATTCATTTCTTTTCGCATTTCTTCAAAACGTCTTTGGCAAATGTTCGAGGTTGGTGTAAAAGGTCCACCCAACGTTGAGTAGCCGGCCAATGCCTTTTGGAATACCGACCAAGCTTTAGCATGTTTCTTCTGCAGACCGAGCAAGTAGGCCAGGCTGGCAAGGCTATCCATGACCGTCAATGAATCTGGACCGTGGACCTTAGTGAAGCCATCCGCCGCTTGCTGTGCCTGTTCAACCGCCTCTTCGAGTCGTCCTAAGTTCCGCAGGCAGATAGAAAGGCCGTAAGAACACTCCGCGTTGAGGTAATCATTCCTGGGATGCGCTGCCTTGAGAGAGCTATCAATATCTTGGTAGAGGGACTCAGATTCCTTGTACCTTCTTTGGTGGTCTAGAAGTGTGGCGAAGCTCAGTTTGCACTTCACTACATCAACGTGTTCTGGGTGATGCTTTGCTAGGAAGCCAGCCAGAGCCCTCTTGTACAGGCTTTCCGCTTCGTCGCACTTCCCACCTAAGCGGAGCACTCTACCGAAGCTGTTCATAACTCTCAGTACGTCGCCATGGTTCTCGTCGAAATGCATTTCGTAGCCTCTCAGTACTGTTCGATAAAGCTCCTCCGCTTTCTCGACTTTACCTTGAAGGGAGTACACGGATGCCAGCGACGTCAGACTTTCGAGCGTATTTGGATTGTTGGATCCCATGTGATGCGTCATGCCTGCGATTGCGTCGTTGCTCAGTCTCTCCGCTTCTTCCACATAGCCCAGCCTTTGTAGAATGGTAGCAAGATTGGTCATTCCCACAAGGGTATCTGGATGGCCATCCCCTAGTACTTGCCGCAGCATCTCTAGCGAGTTACGCCCGACGCTCATCGCCTTCTCCATTTTGCCGGCATCCCTTAAGGCGACCGCTAGCTCTACCGTTGTCTGAATTGTATCTCTGTGCTCCGCCCCTAGATTTTGTTCTCTCCATTTGAGGGCACGGTTTAGCAGCTTTATAGCTGCTTCGTGGTCGCCCTGTCTCAGGAGAGTCAATGCCAAATTGATAACACTATCAATTGTGGCAGCTGTGTCTGGTCCCAAGGTCTCCTCCCTGTCTTCTAGGCACTGGCGATGAAGCCTCTCTGCTTCTGAAAAACGGCCCAATCTATGTAGCGATAAGGCGTAAATGCTTAGGCTTTCTAACGTGTCTTTCTGCCTGCATCCCAGGACTTTCTTCCTTCCTTCCCATGCCCGCTGGGAAAATTCAGCGGCTTTGGAATGTTCCCTCTTCTTATCTAGCAAGATCGCCATGCTGTTCATGCTGCCTAGCGTTTCAGGGTGTTGCGCCCCAAGACTATTCCGTAGTCCTTTTAGAGACACCTCCTTGATAATTTGAGCAGTAGTATATATACCGCTATCTTGGTAAGCAAGAGCAAAGTTTGCAGCTATTCGGGATTGGTCCGTTGTCAAACCGATAGGCCTCAACTCGTCGCTATTGTCACTTCGCAGGTAGAAGTCTAGGTGAGGCAGGAGGCGCTTGCGCGAATCCTTAAAGCAATCCCGTGCTATAAAGTTGGCTAGGGCAACCCCAGCTGACCTCCTAGCCCATTGTGCTTGTCTTTTGACTAGGCGAATGTTGTTCCATTCGTGGAAAAGGGGGTGGATCGAGAATAACCCGGAGTCTGCGTCGTAGTGGCCCAAGGCATTAGAATCGAGCAACGCAAGCGCCTCCTTATTTTCGTGGCTACTGGCTACGCTATTATCGGCGTTCGGTGTGGAAGGCAGTGATGGTATGCAACTAAGAGCTTGTGCAATTCGCGCACTATCTTCTGGCGCAGCACTTCCCCCGGCGCTTAGATATGAGATCCTATTTTTGAGTCCGCGGAAGGGAGAAAAGGACAACGTATAATCCCAAAGCCTAGCGGTAAAGCTGTGGTCCTGCCTAGACAGGGCAACATCGAATAGCTCCTCTGGAATATCGCGAAAGTGAAGATATGCACAAATTTGCAGGATCTCCAGAGCACGATTGACTACGGAACCCTTCTGCAGGGCTCGCATCGTCTCGACTGAGCCCATGAAACAAGTGTATACGGAATAATCATATGCCTCGTTCTCGTATTGCATTGTAATGTCTTTCATAAGCCTCTGCTTGTTCGCCGCGAAGTACTCTTTGTAGTCAGATAGTCGACACCACTTATGGCGAATCGGCACAGCAGCATGTGCGAGGGCTAGTGGTAGATACCCGAGCTCCTGAGCAATGTCGGCGGCGATAAGTCTGTGCTGCTGGTTTTCCGGATCTCTAAGAGCTTCTGTTAGGAATAGGGTTATGCCTTCATGAGGGTCCATCTCGCCTAGCTTGTAGTCTCCTACCGTGGCGTGATAGATAAGGTGGTTGTTGCGGGTCGTGATAATAATGCACCCCTGGGTTGTGCTTGGGAAATATCTCCGAATTGGAACCTTGTCCCCATCAGCATTGTCCAATATCAGCAACCAGTCACCGTGGCTATTAGCGAGGTAGTTCATTGCATCGTCATAGTTAGCCTTGAGTCCGATCTTCTCGCCAATGGCAGCAAAGTCCCTCTCGATGGTTGTGGGATTGCTGGCGTCTACTTCGAAGACTCGAGAGAACCTGTTGAATAGGTACCTTCTATCAGCCCTTGCAGCCTTCGAGCAATAATTTCTAAAGTCATCTTACCTCTCTCGATGAAGCTCTGCAAATCGAAGTGTAACTTGAGTTTTCCCAGAACCCCACATACCGTGCACAACAAAACATCTTTGCCTTCCTTTCCCGGCCTCACTAAATAGCGCATGTTCCATGGCGTCTAGACAATGTTTTCTCCCGACGAATTTATGCCACACCTTTTGACGAACATGATGACAAATCTCAGCTCGATTAGAGCTATCAAGTAGATGGTGCCGGATCAAGGGGACTCCTTTCAAAGTCGATGATACCTAGTCAGTATCTATACCAAAGGCAAGGAATCAGCGGATAACTCACGATCTGCAATCACTATCAAGGGTGGCCTGTCCTCAGGGG